CGTTAGTTTGAAACGCGTTTGGCTGCGTCAGAAACTGACGCGCTAAACCGCTGTGAAAATAAACTCATTTTGCCGCGTTCAAATGACTAACACGTTCGAACGCATTCAAGTTAAGCGCGTTTGGACGCGTTAATGTCTCCCAAACGCATTTGAACGCAATAGAAACAAATGCGTTTTGGTGCATTTACTAACTAACTAACGCATTTCGCATCGTAATTCGATACCTTTAACGCAGCTGAACACGTTTGGAAGCATTTCGTAGATGCTACTGCTAAACGCGTTATAATGTAACGCGGTTCACCGGATTTAAAGCATATTCCTTCGCAGTATAGCGAAAAGAAGGTAGGTAACCGAAGGGAGCAGGACCATAGGGCTGATCAAGAGGATCAGAGAAGACGCAACTTAGTGGAATTTACTTGGTGCAAGACCTCAAGCACCTTCTGCTTTCACATACAGTAGCGACCAAAAGTCTCGCCCCACTTTTGTGTTTTGCTTATTGTATGAAAAATATACAACATTACTTCAATATAATTATATGCGTATATAGCTGAGGGGTAGTACAACACCTAGATATACAATGCATACATATGATGAAAGGGAGCTATCTTTTTATTTAAAAGAATTTTGCACATGAATGTGATCTATGATATTTTTATGCTAAATGTTGATGTTGGCTTGGTTTAGGGCAATCATGACAGACATTGACTCCACGCATGAACCCACAATGATGATAATAATTATTAATATGTTGTTTGAATATTGCATAATATGAATTGATCATTGCTATTTTAATGTTACTTTCTGATAATGGTGAATATTGTCGAACTTTGTTTTTAAATTCAGAAAAAAATGAATTATCAAAAGGACTAATTCTTTTTGCAGGGTTTGTTGGTAGTAGTTGAATATCTATTATTTGCTCACATTGTCTTTGACGAAATATGTCTAAGATTTTTTGTTTATTATAAATACGTGCTTTATCCATAAATAAATATATGGGATATATGTCAAGCGCACTAATAGCTTGAGTTAATATATCATTGATATAATCTAACAACATAAATTGTTTAATTCAACTACTCATCGTCAATTAAAAATATAATACAAACAAATGAAAGATAAAAAAATACTTTTGATGTGCAGAGCAATTTGTTCCCCATTGTTGTTAAGTTATATTTTCTCCTGCGTTCCCAAGTTTGTTTATGCAGACTAGCCATATGCGTACTCATAGAGTTTGACCAGTAGAGTAAGAATACATATGAATATAAATAATAATTCTTGTCTTTATTCAGATACGTAAAAACAAAAAAGTGGGGTGAGACTTTTGGCCGCTGCTTTACTTCACTTTTCCATTGTTGAAATAGTGTATGTGAAGTCCTTCTTCTAGCAGAGTTTCTGGTCATTCAGTGTGTGACCAGTGTACATATAGATAGAGATGCACAAGACCTCGAAATTCGACTGTGTTCGAACTTTCGCAGTAACTCAGTAATTACTTTCATTCGAGCCTCCCGATCACTAGTTCGGAAAATAAAAAGTGATTTTAAGGCTATTTTACTTCGAGCAAATGAAAGATCTCTGTAAGCAAGAGTAAAAAACAGCTGCTCGAGACCTAGAATTAAGACGCAAGCAAGCAAACAGAAAAGCGTTTCAGTAAGCTATCGATGCTCGAAACACGTACTGACGATACAGTTCATCTTTCGAGCGTCTTTAGCTCAACCTGTTCTATGCTTGCTTCTTAATTCTAGGTACCCACGTTCTAATTATTGCCACAGCAGAGTAAGTTGTTTTAGTTTCTCTCTTCCTTAACTTGTGAACCTTGACATTAAGATAGCTGTGAACGGCCGTGTGAGAGCATGAAAACTTTCTATTCAAGTCAGCTCGATTCTGAATTTAATTTTTAATTTTTTCAAATTTAAAAGTTTAGCGCGTTTAAACGCATTGGGAACTAACGCGTGTAGCAGGATGTTTTTTGTCACATTTAGGGCGTTCAAATGCGTTAAATTATAACGCGCTCTAACACGGTGATTATCGACGCTGTGAAACGTGTTAATCAGCAACGCGTGTGAACGTCCGAAATGTGACAAAAAACATCCTGCTAAACGCGTTAGTTTCTATGAAAATTTAAACGCACTCTAACGCGTTTTTTTCGCAGAAAAAGTTTGCCCGGGGATGATGATGATTCCTCTTCTCCTAAGATGAGAGAAGGAGAAGAAGAAGTTTAGAATTTTTGAAGAAGAAAGAAAAACTGATATTTTTAATAAAATCTCGACACGAAGATAATGTGTCTCCACATTTCGCGTCACTATGAAACAAAATAATAATAAAAATCAATTATTAACTGATTTCATTCTCTCTATATAAAGAGCGCATAGAAGACGTTTCTGAAACTTTTCAAGCGGCAGAAAATAAAATATGTAACGGCAAGCGGCCGTTACAAGGACCTTCCTTGCCCCATGGGATTCGTCCTCGAATTTTGAGATAAGAGCGCCATTTTAACTGGATAGTGTAAAATTTAAATATATCAATTAGAGATTTACGCAAGAAGTTTCTGGTGCTAAATTTTCGGTGTTTTTATAAAAGAAAAGAACTGGTCGCGATTTTCTCTAAATCTGAATATTAGAAATATATTTCGATAAATTTGTTTCATTCAAAAGTTTGACTGCTATCACTCTCAAAAGCCTTAACTCTTTGCAAAATGGCTGCATCCTTCTCAACTACATCATCAACAACAAATTATCTCAACAAGTGAATATGATAATATTGATGAAGATAGTGGAAATCATTTAGATGCGCAAAGAAACATCTGCGCAAGGTGAAGTTTAGCTGAGAAATTAAGTAAAACCTTTAACGACGACACGCGGGTCGGTCAACAGGATAAAAGTTGCATAGTTGTCATCAAACCCTGGTCGGGTTCCACGAATAACAGAAAATTGACTGCAGTTAGTTGTAGCTGAAAAACTACCGGATAGTCTATGGTAGCTGAATGTCAGATTGGATTGGCGAGCAATAATTTGTGGCCGCTTCCAAAACCTGGTAGTATGGTGGTGGCAGCAAATCAAGACATCAGCTGCGCGTACAAAGTGAAATTTGATTGTATTTATGACTTTCATCCAAGAATGTATATGAAGAGTCACTGTGACCTTCTGTAGTCGTACATAGTCTCTAGCTTTTTACCTGTTTTTGTTTAAATAATTTTTCTTAAATATTGTTTTGGATTATAGAAGAGAAAGAGGAGAAGAAAAGGTTTGAAGATATTTCTCTTGACTATATTTTTATTTTAATTGATTGCATTTTCATAATGATTTATACATTTTTGCACAGATAATTGCAAACATCAAAATTTCCAACCTCTACACTGAAACGGTCGAGATAGACGTGTTGCAGAGAGAGCAGAAAACAAAAAAGTTGTGGTTAAATACCTGAAAAACTTAGAAAAAGTTTGTGTTTTCTCTCTACGTCCGAATCTTCGTCACTCTATGATTGAGAATGGAGACGAGGAAAAGAAGGAACTTTTGAAGTTCACAAATCGGAACAAACATGTCAATCAATACTTCGAATAGGCCTTTTTTTTTCTTTTTATTTTAAATAATTTTATCTTCACCTCTTGTTCTCTCACTCTTCTATACGTCCTATTAATATTATTAGAAAAATAGTTGCCTTAAAATTACGCAACGCTCACTTTTTGTTCAGTTGCGTTAATATAACTCAACTTTAAAAATGACCCAATTCTGCCATTTCAGTACGCATAGACTATAAGTTAAAATTTGTTTTCGAGTTCTCTGCATAAAGATATGGAATGAAAACTAAATTTTCTCTTTTCTTCCTGAATGAATATGAATGACAACCGTACAAGATCATCCTCATTATACTTTTCTTCTCATTCTTTTACATACAGCTATACTATCGTCTTGCATATATATCACTTTCCTTTTTCTGTTGTTGTAAAGAAGATTTAACAGAAAAGTGTGTTTCTCAAACGTTTTGTTGATGTAAATATTTTTCTAAATCGATCAAGATAAAATAATGTGAAAATAAAATAGGAAGGAATAGAATGACTACTCATACTGCAAAACGGAGTTGCAAACTGCAATTAGAACACTTAGAAGCAAGCGTTTTAAACTGAAAATTAGAAACAGCTATAAATAAGGCAATATATGTACAGTGAAATATACAGTGAAAGGCCACAGAACAGTGATTTCAGATTAGAGAACTCTGTTCATGATATGGTTTAAGCCGTTCAACGTGAATCGGACTTAAAACAGCGCCATCATCTTCAGACATTAGCTCATAATCTAGAGGACCGACTTTTCTCGTGATACAATAAGGACCGATGAATTTAGCGGCCAGCTTAGGCATTGTCCATTTATCTAAAGCGGAACCAGCTGTATTTGCCATCAAAACCTTCTCGCCTACGGCAAACTGAACATTTTTACGATGTAAATCCTAGGATAATTTTTGATTTTCTCGAGTTATTTCAAGATTCTCTTTAGCCGATTCGTGCACAGACTCTAAAATTGCTTTCAGACGTTCCGTATAGGCCCGTACTTCATCGGATGATCTTAATTCATCAAGAACATCAACTTCTGGATCATATATTAAGTCCAGAGGCAATTTAAGTTCCAGGCCGTACATTAAAAATGCCGGAGTTTGACCTGTCGATTCATTTATGGCTGCTCGAATGGCTAAGGCTAGCTGTGGCAATCGAATATCCCAAGATTCCTTATCATTTTGAGAAAAAATAGCCAACATCGGCTTTAGTGTTTTATTAACGCGCTCAGATAGGTTGGATTGAGGATGATAAAGAGCAGTTGTTCGATGTTGAATGCCCATGATTTTTAAAGTTTCTCGAAAAATCTCTGCAACAAATTGCGCTCCATTATCAGAAACTGTTTTTACGGGGACACCATGACGGCATATAACTTCGTCATGCAAAACTTGTGCGATTTTTTTCTATTTTATACCCCCTAAAGGAAAAAGTTCTACCCATTTTGTGAAATAGTCGATAACAACTAAAATATAGGCGTTTCCTCGGGGAGTTTTAGGCAGACGACCGGTCAGATCGATTCTGATAGTATTCCACGGAGACTGAACTACCTGGGATTGCATTAAGCCAACCTTCTTTTCATTTGCAGCCTTACAACGCTGACATAGGTCGCAAGATCTTACATATTGCGCAACGTCGCGGCTCATACCTTCCCGAAAGAAGCGAATCGATATTCGATGTAGGGTTTTTAGGCGTCCGATATGACCTGAAATGGGATGACCATGGGCTACTTGAAGAATCTCAAGACGTTTTGGTTTAGGAACAACTAGAAGATGTGGGCTAAGATTATTTTTAAGAGGAGAATCTTCTTCAAATTTTCGGACCCTGTATAATTTCCCATCAATAACTCTGGGTAAACTCAATAACTATGGTTTTGGCAAGGTTTTCGAGCTTTCGATGTAAAACTTCATCATCAAGCTGAATGTTATCCTGAGTAAATGAAATAAGAGGGCTGTAATTTTTATCTTGGCGTTGAGCCAACTTTATATCATCTAAGATATTACAATGATATCAAAGATTAACAGCAACTTCTTGATTTTCTTCTAGAGGACCGATAAAAATGCTATTCGTTTGTAGGACCGCTACGACCTCAGATTTTAAAGGGTATCTGGAAAGAGTATCGGTATTAGAATTGGCTTTACCAGGACGGTGTTTAATAACCATATCGTAGGCATCGAGTTTCATAGCCCATCTTGCTAGACGACTTGTAGGATCTTTTATGCTTCTCAGCCATTGCAAAAATCGATGATCTATTCAAACTTCGAATGGTCGTCCTTCAAGGTAGGGTCTGAAATGCTACGTATCCCAAACAATGGCTAAACACTCACGTTCAGGCGCTGAATACTTTTTTTCACAGGGCTGCAAAGTACGACCGGCATAGGCTATTACATGTTCCCTGCGCTCAATATTTTGGGTGAGAACAGCACCAAGACCATAGTCACAGGCATCCAACTGTAACATAAACGGATAGTCAAAGTTAGGATAAGTGACTATAGGTGCAGAAATCAGCCGTTCTTTTAATAATTCAAATGCCTGTTGACGTTTGGGCGTAAACACAAAGATTGGGTTGTGTTTTTCTCGAATCGAGTCGCGCGCTTACAATGTGGCCTAAATATTTAAGTTCTTGATGGCAAAAGAAACATTTTAATGGTTTTAAAGTCAGGTCACTGATTTTAATGCGTTTTAGAACATCATTTATGTCTTTAAGATGTTGTTCAAAGGTTGGTGAATATATTATCACATATCAAAGTAGACCATGCAACAGCTCCATTTCAAACCTCGAAGGACAAGATCCATGAGACGCTGGAAAGTCGTGGGTGCATTAGTCAGCCCAAATGGCATCACATTAAATTGAAAGATACCTTCATGTGTGACAAAAGCTGTTTTTTCTTTACTGCCCTCATCTAACTCGACTTGCCAAAACCCTGATGAGAGATCTAAGGTGCTGAAATATTTCGCACCTTATAAGGCATCGAGTGTATCATCGATTCTGGGAATCGGATACGTGTCTTTCACTGTGACTTCGTTAAGTTTGCGAAAATCAATGCAGAAACGAAGTGTTCTGTCCTTTTTAGGGACAAGGGTATGGCATTTTTGATATCGGTTACACCCCTGGTCAGGACAGCTTTTATTTTTTAATTTAAAACGGAAGGCATTACCCCACACCTTATCAAACGCTTTTTCGAAATCAATAAAAAGTCCCACTGTACTGAGTTTTGTTAAAAGATGTTTGAGTTTGTTGAATAAGATTCAAAATTTGGTCAAGTGTCCAACGACCTTTACAGATTATATATACTTTAACTGTATTAGCTTTTTATGTGCGTTTCTGTCTACTGAATGAAGAAAAATTCAAAACAAGTCGGCTGTATTATGTGAGCCATGGCAAGAGAAAAAGAAAGAAAATCCATTCATCAACAACTCCTTTACTTAAAAAATATCTAGTTAAAGAAGAAACGAAGAATACAGTATCATACAGAACTAATCGATGCATGCAAAAAGTTTAGTCCAAAACGTCAAATGATGGAAGGTAGAGTTTTTTATTGTTTGAAATAAGTTTTTATTGCACATTTTGTTGATTTTAGCGTCCGCAGTGAATGGAGCGACTAGCTATTCAGGAGATACCTCAGAAATAACATTATCACCGACTCCAGAAAACATTCAGTCCTCGATGACAGACAAAAAAAAAATGAAAGACTCAAATGGGATGGTTGAATCGATTACAAATCAAGTGTCACCAATGAATAATTTTCCGTTATTTATGAGTCTTACACTTCGATCTCTTGGAATCATATTTGGCGATATGTAAGCAGTTAATAGTAGTTCAAAATTTAATTTCGTTATTCTTCGACTAAACTTTAATGACAAAAACTAACCGATTTGATAAGCGTTTTCTGGATGTGATTATCACTCGAGGCAAAAGTAGTAGAATAAAATTTACATAAAAAAAAAAGATTTCAGAATATTTCTCCGGTGAGCTACGAAGATACTTAATTGCTATAGATGTATATATGTTTAACATGACATTAATTTTTTAATATAGTGGTACATCACCGCTTTACGTTGTTAATACAGTATTTGCAAATGTTAAAGAACCAAATGAACAGCAATGTGTGGGTATAATTAGTTTAATAATATGGAATTTAATTGTCGTTGTTTCAATAAAATATGCTATTTTTATTTTAATGGCTGATAATAGAGGCGAAGGTTTGTCTCCGAAAAAAAAGAAACGTAACATTTTTCAGTGCTACAAGTAAGTTTTCTTTTCTTAAGGTGGTACATTTGCACTCTGTGGATTACTGACCGGTGAATCAGGTCCATTTCGTACAAGAGCAAAAAAGGTGGTAGCAATAATATCAATTTTAGCAGCATCGTTGTTAATTGGTAAGCTTATTGTGTAACATATATTCTAAGGTTTATTGGAAAAGTTTTTTGATTTATAGGTGATGGTGCTCTCACGCCTGCTGTTTCTGTTCTTAGTGCAGTCGAAGGTCTAGCTGTATCTACTCCAAATTTACAAAAATGGGTTCTTCCAATCACTATTGTTATTATCATTTTACTCTTTTTGGCTCAACAATATGGTACGGGAAAAATTGGTATTCTTTTTGGTCCAATTATGGTGATATGGTTTTTAACATTATTCAGTATTGGTGTTTGGCGTATTACTTTTCATCCAAAAATTTTAAGAGCATTTAATCCATTCGAAGCATTACATTATTTGATCCGAGAGAAAAAAACTGGTTTCTTGCAAATTAGTAGCGTGTTCTTATCTGTCACAGGTTTAGAAGCATTATATGCTGATCTGGGACATTTTGGAAGGTGGCCTGTTAGAACGAGTTGGTTTCTTGTTGTACTGCCATCTGTTACAGTAAATTATCTGGGTCAAGGCGCTTTACTAGCAATAAATCCAACATTGATTGCCAATCCCTTTTACAATGCTGCGCCCGGTACTTAAAAAAATTCTTATTCACTGTTAAAATGAAGGTTGAGAATAACATTTTCCTTTTTTTGAGACTGGGCACGATGGCCAATAATTGTACTTGCAACGGTGTCAACGGTAATAGCATCTCAAGCAATTATTACTGGTATATGTTATAAGTTTGATTTGAACAATGATAACATTGAATTTCTTTCATAGGATGCTTTTCTCTGGTTAGTCAAGCTTCTAGTCTTGGTTTTATTCCACCTGTTCGAGTTCATCACACCAGTAAACGAATTATTGGACAAATTTATGTACCCGCCATCAATTGGATATTAATGCTTTTAACATTAGCCGTAACGTTATATTTTCAACGTAGTTCAGACATGACTCATGCGTATGGTGTTACTGTATGTAGTGTAATGGTAATAACTACCGTATTGTACATGTGTGTGATACGTTATGCATGGAAACGATCATGGATATTTGTTGTCCTGTTTGGAATATTTCTCATTTTCGATTGTATCACATTTAGCAGTAACC